CACACACACACACACACACACACACACACACACACACACACACACACATGACTATCGTCTTCACCTGAATAGGATACCCGGTCATTACTGCTGTACTGAAAGTTGCACCAAATACGGCTGTCACTGGGGCGATCTATTCGGGTGAAGAAGGAAGTGGAGCCTTGCCATGCTGAGAAGTATCAGGCATATTCCTGCCTATTCGCTTTACTGAACGGAATGCTGGTCTATCCAGTCATCACAGGCATGTTTCCCGCCCGTTCGTTTTACTGAATGGAAAGTTGGTCGTCCGTCACAGGCATATTTCCCACCCATACCCCATCCAGAGGGAATAGCATTGAAGATTGAAGATCAGACCGGACGGGAGTGGACTTTCCAGTTTCGCTACTGGCCCAATAACAACAGCCGCATGTACGTCTTGGAAGGAGTAATGGGCTGCATGAACCACCTTCAGCTTCATGCCGGCGATACAGGTATGCTCACTGAGATTCATGGACTTGGCTCGGTTGGATTGGATGGCCATATGGACTTTAGCACGGATGGGACGGATTGCCATATGGATCTGGCATGGTTGGGTTGGATGGCCATATGGGCGTGGGCAGCATTGGATATGATGACATATTAGTGCTGTCATGGATTTTTCCCAACAACTAGCTTGGCTTGATTGAGTTTAATGTTCGGATGAGATAGCAGGGGTACGAAGAAGATGAATTTCTGAGTGTACATTAATGCAACCATATATGTATTCTCAAAGCTCCGGCCTCGTCAGTGAGATGGGCATACCTGTGATGGTGCTCTCAGCATACAACTTATTCCGCAAAGAGCATCCTATTGTCGGGGGCCCAACAGCACCGGCTTGCAGGGTTGCATCCCTGCCGGCCGCCGATCCCGACCGCCGACCGTATTGCAGCCAACCAGTAGGGCCGACCGGTCAGCAGTCTGCCGACCAGTCAACCATCCACTGATTTTTTTCAAATCTGAGTTGGGGGCCGTACTGCGCTTGCTGAGTACAGCCCAAATCCGCTGAGAAACTTTTGGGGATGGGGGGGGTATG